AAAGAAATTTTAAGAATAAAGCAGACATTACTAAAGCAGTATCCATTTTCACTCTTTGATTAACACCTGAGGAAAAAAGGGTATGCAGAAAGCTATATAATTTGTCTCACGTTAGTTTGTTGGTCTGAAGAGTACAATTTTGATATATGTACTGAAAGTGAAACTAAATTGGAAAATAAATGTTTGTAACTTTTAATAAGGCTGTAGAAAAGGGATACTGGCTGGGCACAGTGGCTCACACCTGTAATGCCAGCATTGTGGGAGGCCGAGGTAGGCAGATTACCTGAGGTCAGAAGTTCAAGACCAGTCTGACCAACATGGTGAAACCCTGTTCTCTACTAAAAATACAAAAAAATTATCCAAGCGTGTGCCTATAATCCCAGCTACTTGGGAAGCTGAGGCAGGGGAATTGCTTGACCCAGGGAGGTGGAGATTGCAGTGAGCCGAGATTGCACCACTGCACTCCAGCCTGGGTGACAGAGTGATACGCAATCTAAAAAAAAAAAAAAAAAAAAAAAAAAAAAAAGTTGAAAAGGGTTACTGCAGTATTATAAAATGGCTTTAGAACTCTGGACATAACCAAATTGTATGGTTAAATAGGGAAGTCTGAATCAGCAATCCCATCACATATGAGGATAGCTGTTGTATAGTTTCTAGCTCATATCAAGTTAGTTTTTAAAATTGATTTTCTGTCTGGATGTTCTATCCATTATTGAAAATAGGGATTGAAATATCTTACTATTATTTTGTTGCTTTCTATTTCTCCCTTAAATTATGTCAATGTTTGCTTTATATATTTGGGTTCTCCAACATTGAGTGCATATATTTCTAATTGTTATATTTTCCTGATAAATTGAACCCTTTATCATTATATAGTCTCACCGTTTGTCTCTTGGAACAGTTTGTCTTGCTTTTAAATGCATATTAAATAATTTTTACCACACACAAGATATAGTCAAACCTACTTTAGGAAGCTTCCGTCATTCTCTAACACAGACGCTCCAGGTGACTGCCTGTTTGGTCAGACTCGAGGAAACTCTCTTTTCATGCAGCCATCTATCAGCCTGTTTATAGTTTTCTCTTCTCGATAGCATCATCTGCTGGGTCCTTGTTAAAACCTTTCCAGGTTTAGGTTTGTATATTTTCCCAAGCCTCTCATTTCTTGGGTGATTTCTTTCATCATTGTCAGTCAAATCTGGCATAGGTCAGATTATGTCCACTAAGCTCTGCAATGAGGAAACCTTTTTGTTTAACACTTCCTAAGAGGATTCTCCAATTCTGCCTGGACATATGGAACAGTTCAGTCCCCCATACATTAGGCGAAACCTATGTATCCAGTTATTAATATAATCATGAAAAGAAATCATCTAGTTATTAATATAATCATGAAAAGAATATGAAAAGGACTTCCTTAGAAAATGCATTTAATTGATCCTTATTCACTTTATGATTCATTTCCTCACAACCATATCTCTAAAAAAGAAGATAGTAGATGGCAAAGATATATATCCCAGTTGTTCCAAACTCAACTCCCCAAGTGTGTCATTAAGTCAGTTACTTTTAATATTGTATTGAATTTCACATTCACCTTTGTTTTATGCAGATTTTAACATAATTGAAATCATATTAAGGACACTAAGCTTTCTTTAGCCAAAAATATGAACACTTTACATCATTAACAAGATTTCTGCTATATTTTTCTACAAAATTATAGTTTAGTGATGTGGTAGAACCATACATAAAAGAGCAGACAGTATACATAAATATTTGTATATGATGCTTATACAGAAGTTTACAGAATACTCATGATGCAAAGCAGAAGTTAAATTTAATCTGAACATTGAAGGATACTGTAATGTGGTTCAAGAATGAGAAAAGTTTAGATGGTTTAGATAAGGGTAGAGCATGAATAAAGTTCCTAAAGCAGAAGTGAGCATATGCTGTGTGTGGAGCTCGTTGAATGGGGTTGAAGAGGCTGGTCTGACATTTGCATGAGGGAGAGGGACAGAAAAAGAAAACTGGATAGACGTGGTAGAGGCAGAGTCAGTCGACTTTAAGAGCCACTTTGTGTGGTCTGTAACTGAGAGGACCTTGCTGCTAAGCAGTAAGATCGAGAACTTAATCCTCTGTGAGATCTACAGAGATTTGTTTCCTTTTACCATGTGAGTTGTCAATTCTTATATTTGTTTCTTGAGAGGGGCAATGCAGACCATTGATGACCAGGGCCATTGAAGGGACTATGGGCATAATTGTTCATTTTGCTGGTAAGTAATTCTTGTCCATTAAGGAGAAAAAGCTCTAGTGGCAAGATGGTAGCCTTGGGAGTATATGAGAATAAAGGAAGATACATATTTTTAAGGTTAGTAAAGATTTAAGCATGTTCATGTACTGGAGGTAAAGAGAAAGTAATGATGGAAAAGTTGAGGATAAATCTGATAGTAGAGTCCATCTTCAAGTAGTAGGTAGGACTATAGAATTCATAGCACAGGTAGAGGGGCTGTGAGCTGGAACTGGAGGAAGATACATCTTTCACTGAAATTGAATCCAAGAACCCAGGGAGAGTTAAGAATGACTGTAGCTACAGATAGGATTTTATTTTCAGCAAAGAAAGAGGGACAGAGTTTTGCCCTAAAATCTTTCATTTTCATTATTTGGCTACTGCTCTTCCAATGGATGTTGACTGTGACCCACAATAAGAAGTGTAGTTTAGTTTACGTTAAGAATCAGTGAGCATGAGAGTGTGCAGATATAAACAGACATGGAAAATTGAATATAAACTTTGGTTACAGTGTGTGAAGGTCTTACTGAAGATCTGTGTAAAACCTTCTGATATTTTTTACACAGTTGATTTACAGTTTGTGACCTGAGTTTGAGAAACATGAAATTAGGCTGTGACTGTGAGTGAATGGAAAGATCATAACATAGGGTGTTGATGAGTTTTAAATTGTTACTGGAAATAGAAGAAAGAGTTAATTACTGATTCAGAGGAAGATTCTCACAGTGGTTAAAATCCTAGTAATATTAGAGGAAAGGCCTTCAGAATATACCAGTTCACAAAATTAATGGGAAGGCAATGTTTCCTCAAGACTTGTCTCTGGAGTAATGCATTGATGGCATGGACTGGCATATCACAGATTCTTTGGGATAAACTTTTGTATTATAACCTCATCATATTGCTAACAATACTTAATATAGGTTTTATCTTCTCTATAAGGCTTTTTCTTTTATGATTCTCTCTCAATTCACTCATTTCCATCTTAATATTTCAAACTCTGTGACATATACCAAGGATATTATGAAGAGAGCTCTGGAGAAGAAATCTAAATTGGGATTTCACCTCTATCAGATACTTTTCCTAAGAGCTCTCACCTAGTAATCCTGATTTTCTCTTGTGGCTTCTGGTGGTCATCCGTTAGTTCTGGAAACCTACATGGAGGGTTACAGGGTTTCTTGACATCGTAATGCTAAGGATGTTGCACATGCTCATTTGTGCTCTTAGAATATTGAGGCCACCAGTATGTGTTAACAGTGTGTCTCCCAAGTTGTTTTAACATTTTGTTTTCAAATATTGAGCAAATCATTAACAACATTTTAAAGTGAAAGGCAGGAACTGAGCGAAATTAGCTTTTACTTGAGCCAAAATTTGTTTTCAACAGTAATAAGGTTTTAAAGTCTACTCAAATTGTGGTCTTTTGAACATTATAATGCACGGACTCTAGGCTTAAGTGCCTCTGTGTAGCTTTCTTGGAACATTGAGATTGAAATCGGTAGGTCCAGGTAACTCACCAGCCATGTGAAAAATAGAATCAAATCTGTATTGACATGATCAGGAGGAGCCTCTTATGATAGAGATTATGATGCTAGTGGGCTGTATGCACTGCCCCAAAATGACTGCCCCACTCCCTGTTACCCCATCATATGCCTTCCTTTCTTGGAATTCCCAGGGCTTTCCTGCAGATAAGAATATATTATAAAATTTAAAAGTCTTGATTGGAGGAGGTCTCCCAATATTAATAAGCCCTTGTAGCGGGACTTTTTTGACTACCAGTTTAGAACTGAATGAGGTATACATAAAATATCTGGGATAGGAGATGGGAGATGGAGAAAACTATATTCAAGGAACAAAAAATGATGGGTTTTGGATGTGTGATACACATGCTTATTGAATGTGCAGGTTGTCAGTAGGTTTTTGGTTGGAAGAAAGGTTTGTGTCAGAAGCCAATGTCTTTAAAATGAACGATTTTGCCTGGTATGACAGCTCATGCCTGTAATCCCAGTACTTTGGGAGACCGAGACAAGATCACTTGAGTTTGAGACCAGTCTGGGTAACATAGTGAGACTCCATCACTACCAAAAAAAAAAAAAAAAAAAGAAAGAAAGAAAGAAAAAGAAAAAGAAAAATTAGCTGGGCATTACAGTGCAGGCCTTCAGGTCTAGCTGCTTGGAAGCTAAAGTGGGAGGATTCCTTGAGTCCAGGAATTTAAGGCTGCAGTGTGCTATGGTTGTGTCACTGCACTACAGCCTGTGCAACAGAGCAGTACTCCATCTGTAAAATAAATACAATAAAATAAATACATTAAAATAATGTGGAAAATGTCTTGCCATTTTACATGTTTAAAGAACAGTATACAGTGAATCTTTATGTATCTATCACGGAAGTTTGACAGTAACTCACCTATGTTCAATCTACTCCATCTGGAAATCTTATTGCCCTTATGTATTAAGAGAAACATATGCATTTTATTGCTTCAAATATGGTCCAGATACAAGAATCATTTTGCCTTTTTTCTCTCTCTCCTTCACTCTTTGCATCCCACCCACCCCATCCTGGCTCTTTCTGTTTTTATTTTCAGCACTACAGCTCTGATGGTCCAGCTCCACCAGGACACAGATTCCAGATCCTTAAAGGTCAGCCTAGCACCCTGAACAGCTGAGAGGGAGGAGCCAGACCAGCAGTGCCTCATACCTTGTCATCGTCTGTTCTAGGCAGATGGCTCCATAATCACAGCTTCATGATGGCAGTGGGTGAGCCCCTGGTGCACATGAGGGTCACTCTTCTGCTGCTCTGGTTTGGGGTGTTTTTGTCCATTTCTGGCCACTCTCAGGCCAGGCTCTCCCAGGATTTCACTTCCTCAGAAGTGGTAATCCCTTTAAAGGTGATCAGCAGGGGCAGAGGTGCAAAGGCTCCTGGATGGCTCTCCTATAGCCTGCGGTTGGGGGGACAGAGATACACTGTCCACATGAGGGTAAAGAAGCTGTTGTTTGCCACACATCTCCCTGTGTTCACCTACACGGAGCAGCATGCCCTCCTCCAGGATCAGCCCTTCATCCAGGATGACTGCTACTACCAAGGTTATGTGGAGGAGGTCCCTGAGTCCTTGGTTGCACTTAGTACCTGTTCTGGGGGATTTCTTGGATTGCTACAGATAAATGACCTTTTTTATGAAATCAAGCCAATTAGTGTTTCTGCCACTTTTGAACACCTAGTACATAAGATAGACAGTGATGATACACAGGTTCCACCTATGAGATGTGGGTTAACAGAAGAGAAAATAGCACGCCAGTTGGAGTTGCAATTGTCATATAATTTCACTCTGAAGCAAAGTTCTTTTGTTGGTTGGTGGACCCATTGGCGGTTTGTTGAACTGGTAGTGGTCGTGGATAATGGTCGATACCTTTTTTCTCAAAGTAATGCATCAATAGTGCAGCATGAAGTATTTAATGTTATCAATATAGTGGATTCCTTCTATGATCCTTTGGAGGTTGATGTAATTTTGACTGGAATTGATATATGGACTTCATCAAATCCACTTCCTACCACTGGAGACCTAGATACTGTTTTAGAAGATTTTGCTATTTGGAAGATTTATAGCCTTAATAATAGACTACAACATGATGTTGCACATCTTTTCATAAAAGAGATGCAAGGCATAAAGCTTGGTGTTGCCTTTGTTAATGGAATATGCCAGATTCCTTTTAATTGTGGAGTTGATGTTTTTGAAGACAATAGGTTTGTCATGTTTGCAATTACTTTTGGCCATGAGCTTGGTCATAATTTGGGTATGCACCACGACACTGAATGGTGTGTGTGTGAGCTACGGTGGTGCATAATGTATCCCTACAGACAGTTGACAACTAAATTTAGCAACTGCAGCTATGCCTATTATTGGGATAGTACTATCAGTAATGGATTATGTATTTACCCTCCTCCATATCCAGGGAATATCATTAGACTGAAGTACTGTGGGAATCTAGTGGTTGAAGAAGGAGAGGAATGTGACTGTGGAACCACACAGCAGTGTGCAAAAGATCCCTGTTGTCTGTTAAACTGTACTCTAAGTCCTGGAGCTGCTTGTGCTTTTGGATTGTGTTGCAAAGACTGCAAATTTCTGCCACCAGGAACTTTATGTAGACAACAAGTTGGTGAATGTGATCTTCCAGAGTGGTGCAATGGAACATCCCATCAATGCCCAGATGATGTGTATGTGCAGGACGGGATCTCCTGTAATGTCAATGCCTTCTGCTATGAAAAGACATGTAATAACCATGATATACAATGTAAAGAGATTTTTGGCCAAGATGCAAGGAGTGCATCTCAGAGTTGCTATGAAGAAATCAACACCCAAGGAAACCGTTTTGGTCACTGTGGTATTGTAGGCACAACATACGTAAAATGTTGGCCCTCTGATATCATGTGTGGGAGGGTTCAGTGTGAAAATGTAGGAATCATTCCCAATCTGATGGAGCATTCTACAGTGCAGCAGTTTCACCTCAATGACACCACTTGTTGGGGCACTGATTATCATTTAGGGATGTCTATACCTGATATTGGTCAGGTGAAAGATGGCACGGTATGTGGTCCAGAAAAGATCTGCATCCGTAAGAAGTGTGCCAATATGGTTCGTCTGTCACAAGCCTGTCAGCCTCAGACCTGCAACATGAGGGGAGTCTGCAACAATAAACAACACTGTCACTGCAACCATGAATGGGCACCTCCCTACTGCAAGGACAAAGGCTATGGAGGTAGTGCTGATAGTGGCCCACCTCCTAAGAACAACGTAGAAGGATTAAATGTGATGGGAAAGTTGGGTTACCTGTTATTATTGTGCCTTCTTCCTTTGATTCCTTTTTTATTATGTTGCTTGCTTGTGCTTTTTAAGAAACGTACAAAAAGTAAAAAAGATGAAGGAGAAGAGAAATGGGGAACAGAAGACTAAGCCTCATAATTCATTGTTTAATCTCCAATTTTTCTTTTAATAATAGAAAAATATGAAGGCATGTCTTACTGTTTAAACAAAACTTCATGGACATTTCATGTCAGGATCACAAGCATTAGATACCACAGCAAAGGATTCCTAGCATATTCTTTCTTCTCTATGGTGTCTTAAGCAATATTAAAGGTTCATTTTCCCAGAAGTCATCTCTTTATGTTTCCTGAGAAAAGGCACAGAAAAGATAGTTTTATACTGGTGTCCCTCAGTTCTAACCCTCCTCTCTGTTTTTTTTTGTTTGTTTTTTGTTTTTTGTTTTGTTTTTTGCTATACTACGTAATGTTCAGGATGTGCCTATGCACATCTCATTTCTGTTTGACATATTTAGCTATGCTAAAAGGGGGCAGTAGAAGTAGCCTGGAGTGATGATGAGGGAAGGAGGGAGCTTTCTTTCCCGTGTACTTACCATGAATGTCACCATTATTTTGGCTGGGGCCATTCACTCTGGTAATCATATTTGGTTTCAGATTCCAGTTCTGTTGTCACTTTTAGAACACCTCTCATTTTTCCTCAGAAATACCAGCAGCAGCCCTGGAGTGAAGAGGGCTGTGGTCCTCTGACTTCTTAAGGCAGCAGCAGCTGTTCACTGTGCTGTCTTTAGAGGCCTGGGTCCTTACTCTGCAGGAAATGTTCTTTAATCATCTCCACTCTAGTAAACCTAACTTCTTTTTTCTGTTCTCCTGGCCCTAGGAATGTTAGGTACCTTCTGTAGCTACTTTGTTGTTGTAGGTTGAGTTCTCTGGAAGCAAACACTGGACTGGAGTTTCAAATACAAGATTTTGTTAGGGACAAACAGCTGTGAAAAAAGTCAAGGAAGTTGGTTGTACAGATGAGATGTATAAGTACAGTCATAACTTGGAATAATATAGGTTCAGTTCCAGACCACTGCAATAACAGGAATATCACAATAAGGTGAGTCACACAAAATTTTGGTTCCCCAGTACATATAAAAGTTATATTTGTACTATAATCTATTAAGTATGCAATAGCGTTATGTCCAAAAATGCAATGCCTTAATTAAAAACATTTTATTGCTAAGAAATACTAACAATCATCTGAGCCTTTAGTGAGTCATAATGTTTTTGCTGCTGGAGGGTCTTGCCTCATTGTTGATAGATGCTGACTCATTAGGGTGGTGGTTGCTGAAGGTTGGGGTGGCTGTGGCAATTTCTTAAAATAGGACAACAATTAAGTTTGCTACATTGATTGACTTTTCCTTTCACAAATATTTATCTAGTATGCTATGCTGTTTGATAAGGCTTTACTCACAGTAGAACTTCATTCAAAACTTGAGCCAATCCTCTCAAACTTTGCCACTGCTTTATCAACTAAGTTTATGTAATATATTAAATCTTTTGTTGTCATTTCAACATTGTCGACAGCATCTTCACCGGGAATCAATTCCATTCCAGGAAACCATTTTCTTTGCTCATCTATAAGAAGCAACTCCTCATCCATTCAAGATTTATCAGGACATTACAGCAATTGAGTCACTTCCTCAGGCTCCACTTTTAATTCTAGTTCTCTTGCTATTTCTGCAACATCTACAGTTCTTTCCACCACTGAAGTCATCTGTGAAGGTTGGACTCAATGTCTTCCAAACTCCTTTTAATGTTAATGTTTTGACCTCCTCACATAAATCAGGAATGTTCTTAATGACACCTAGAATGGTGAATCCTTTCCAGAAAGGTGTCAATTGATTTGCCCAGATCCATCAGTGGAATTACTATCTATGGCAGCTATAGCCTTATGAAATATATTTCTTAAATACAAAGACTTAAAAGTCAAAATTACCCCATCCATGGGCTGCAGAATGGATGCTGCATTAACAGGCATGAAAACAACATTAATCTCCTTGTACATCTCCATCAGAGATCTTGGGTGATCAGGTGTATTGTCAGGGAAGAGTAATATTTGAAAAGATATCCTTTTTTTTTTTTTTTTTTTTTTTCCCTGAGGAGTAGGTCTCAACAATAGGCTTAAAATATTCAGTAAACCATGCTGTGAACAGATATATTGTCACCAAGGCTTTGCTCTTTCATTGACAGAGCACAAGCAGAGTAGACTTAGCATCATCCTTAAGGGCCTTCAGATTTTTGGAATGGGAAAGGAGCATTGGTTTCAACTTAAATTCACCACCTGCATTTGTCCCTAACAAAACTGTCAGCCTGTCCTTTGAAGCTTTGAAGCCAGACATTGACTTCTCCTCTCTAGCTGTGAAAATCCTAGTCTTCTTCCAACAGAAGGCTGTTTCATCTACATTTAAAATGTATTGCTTGGTGCAGGCACCTTCATCAGCGATCTTAGCTAGATCTTCTGTATAACTTGCTGCAGCTTCTACATTAGTACTTGCTTCATCTTGCAACTTTATGTTATGGAGATGGCTTTTTTCTTAAGCCTCATGAACCAACCTGTGCTAGCTTCAAATTTTTCCTTGGCAGAGTTCTTACCTTTCTCCACTGTCATAGAATTGATGAAGATTAGGGCCTTGCTCTGGATTAGGCTTTGAGTTAAGGGAATGTTGTGGCTGGCTTAACCTTCTAGTTATACCACTCGAACATTCTGTGTATCAGCAGTAAGCTGTTTTGCTTTCTTATCATTTGTGTGTTCACTGGAGTATCACTTTAAATTTTCTTCAAGAATGTGTCCTTTGCATTCACAACTTTGGCTGTTTGGTGCAAGAGGCCTAGCTTGGCTTTTGACATGCCTTTCTCATTAAGCTTAATCATTTTCAGTTTTTGATTTAAAGTGAGAAATACAAGTCTCTTCCTTTCACTTGAACACTTATTCTATGGTAGGGTTATAAATTAATCAACCAAATTTCCATCTTATGTATTAGGGAATAGGGAGGTCCAAGGAGAGGGAGAGAGATGAAGGAATGGTCAGTTGGTGGAGCAGTCAGAACATACACAATTTTTTTTGCTTAAATTTGTTTTCTCATATGGTTGGGATTTGTGGCACCCCAAAACAATTATTATGGTAACATCAAGGATGACTGATCACACATCACAGTAACAGATATAACAATAATAATAATAATAAAGCTTGAAATATTGTGAGAATTACCAAAATGTGACAGAGACACAAGCAAGCACAGGCTGTTGAAAAAATGGTGCCAACAGATTTGCTCAACAAAAGATTGCCACAAACCTTCAATTTGTAAAACAAAACCAAAAAGAGTATCTGTGAAGCACAATACATTGAAGTGTGATCAAAATAAGGTATACTTGTATATCACAGCCTCAGCCAATCTGGCAGTGAACTCTGGCCTGAATATTGCTTGACTGATTTGTCTGAGTTGGGTCAAAATGGTCTGGTCTTCATCCCTTCAGTTTGTTTATTCAGTGGATGTGGGAGAAGGGCATAAGCTTGGTAGGGTGCCTCTTTGTAACTGAGGCTGACCCCAAAGAGCTAACTCCTGGATGCTGTCTTCTGATTATAATTCCTGCAGATGGTCAGCAAGTCTTCTTGAAGGAGGATCCAAGAAACATATTTACATATTCTATAGTCCAATATTTGCACTGCTCTGACCCACTTTTTGATATATGTTGTGGGAACGATGCCTCCAGGATTCTGGTGGACATCCCTTTCTGTGAGAAACCTTAGAAAAGGGAAGTTAATGGGATAAACCATAGTCCTTCTGTGACATTTGGGATTGAGGCTGAAATGGATACTTATTGTCTCACTCCTCCACTGTCCATTCTAGTTTCCTTAACTATGTGTTATGATCCAGGTCTTTATCTCCAAAAGATGTGAGCACTTGGTCATCATGCCCTTCTCAGGCTGTGATTGCTGAACCTTTATACTCACCATCAGGCTGGGGAGTACTAATAAGCACCTAGGGAGATCACCTGGGTTCTACACATATACCACTATATTTCCATCTTAGAAGCCCTGCCTCCTCCTGATGATTAGGGTCAATCACTTCTGTCAAGAATGTGATTGTTGGCTGGGCGCGGTGGCTCAAGCCTGTAATTCCAGCACTTTGGGAGGCCGCGGCAGGTGGATCACGAGGTCAAGAGATCGAGACCATCCTGGTCAACATGGTGAAACCCTGTCTCTACCAAAAATACAAAAAATTAGCTGGGCATGGTGGTGCGTGCCTGTAATCCCAGCTACTCAGGAGGCTGAGGCAGGAGAATTGCCTGAACCCAGGAGGTGGAGGTTGCGGTGAGCCGAGATCTGCCATTGCACTCCAGCCTGGGTAACAAAAGTAAAACTCAGTCTCAAAAAAAAAAAAAAAAAAAAAAAAAGAATGTGATTGTCTTCTTTTTGGTGCAAGGACACAGTGAGTTCTAGTGGCAGCTTCAGCTTATAATTTATTGGGACTCTAACTTTGCCCTGGTGACCCATTTGGGCACCAGGACCTTTAAGCTGCAGAGTCCAGAATTGCAGGAGGCAAGAAGCACAAATCACCCCAGTGAGTCACTGTGAGTGGCAGTAAGTGGGATCACTCCTGCTTCCAGCCCTTGGTTCCCAGACCAATGTAAAGATATGTAGTTCAGTGCATACAATTCATCCTGGGGAATGGTATCTTATTCCTGCCGTATATTGCCTCGGAACAAGTGCTTCAGCTTTAGCTCAGTTGCACCATCAGTAGGCATTTCCAATGCTTTATTAGGCTGGCAGCTCTTAGATTACGTTGTCTGTTATACAGCCAGTATATACCATGTTCTTTGGCCCCCTTCCACAACTTCTTCACTGTAAAGTGGTACCTTGGTCTGATATGATATTATATGGAAACAATAGACCAGTGGGTCAGATACTCCAAATATCCAAAGATATCAGTGCTCACTGAGGCTCACTGCCTTACCTCCGTGTGATAAGGCAAATTCATATCAACAATATGTGTCTATTACTGTAAGAATGAACCGCTTACCCTTCCAGGATGATAATGACCAATTATAGTCAATTTCCCTCCAAGTGTTCTTCTAGGAATAATGCTA